GGCATTTGATAAAATCCAGTACTCCTTCATGATAAATACTCTCAGAAAACGGAATAGAGAGGAACTTCCTCAACTTGATAAACACTATCTACAAAAAATCTACAGCTAACATCACACTTAATGGAGAGAAAGTTGAAGTTTTCCCGCTAATATCAGGAACAAGGCAATGACATCCCCTCTTACCACTGCTTTTCAACACTGTACTGGAAGTCCTAGCTAGTGCAGTAAGCCAAGAAAAGGAAATAAAAAGTATACAGACTGGGAAGGAAGAAATAGAACCATTTTTGCTCACAGGTGATAAGACCACCTATGTAGAAAATGTGAAAGAATTTACCAAAAAAATTCCCTAGAACTAATAAGCAACTACAGCAAGGTTGCAGGATACAAGTTTGATATATAAAAGTCAATCACCTTCCTACATACCAGCAATGAACGAGTTTTGAAATTAAGAATGAATTACTATTTACATTAGCCCCTCCCCTCCCCAAAATGAAGTACTTAGGTATAAATCTAACAAAATATGTGCAAGATCTATATGAAGAACCTACAAAACTCTGATGAAAGATATCAAAGAACAAAATAAATGGAGAAATATTCTATGTTCATGAATAGGAAGACTCAAGATGTCAATGCATCTATAGATTCAATGCAATCCCAATCAAAATAACAGCAACTTATTTTGTAGCAACAACTTGACAAATTGATTCTAAAGTTTATATGGAGGGGCAAAAGATCCAGAACAGCCACATCAATATTGGGGAAGTAGAACACAATTTGAAGGCTCACACTAACCAACTTCAGTACTTACTATAAAGCTAAAGTAATCAAGAAGGTATAGAACTGGTGAGAGAATGGACAAACAGATCAATGGAACAGAAAAGAGAGCCTAGAAATAGACCCACATAAACACAGTCGAAGGAGCAAAGGCAAAACAATACAGCAGAAATTGTGTATTCAACAAATGGTGCTAAAAAACCAGACATCCACATGCAAAAAAAAAATACTCTAGACACAAATCTTATAACATTCACAAAAATTAACTCAAAAGGGATCACAGATTTAAATGTAAAACACAGAAGTCTAAAACTCCTAGCAGAAAACCTAGATGACCTTGGGTATGGCAGTGATTTTTAGATACAACACGAAAGACACGGACCATCGAAGACAAAAGTACTAAACTGGACTTAGTTAAAATTAGGAACTGTGGCCCTGTGAAAGACTGGAATGACATTCCCACAGACTGGGAAAAAATAATTGAAAAAGATAGAAGAGATAAAGGACTGTTATCCAAACTAATCAAGGAACACTTAAAACTCAATGATAAGAAAATGAACAACCAGATTTAAAAATTGACAAAAGATCTGAACACACACCTCACCAAAGAAGATATACAGATGGCAAGTAAGCATATGAAAAGATGTTCAATATCTTATGTCACCAGGGAATTGAAAACTAAGACAACAATGAAATACCCCTATAGACCTATTACAATGGCCACAATGCAAAACACTGACAGCACCGAATGCTGGTGAGGGTATGGAGCAACGGTAACTCTCACGCACTGCTGCAGGAAATGAAAGGTGGGGCAGCCACTTTGGAACAGCTTGGCAGTTTCGTACAAAGCTTAACATACTCTTTTTTTTAAGATTTTGTTTATTTATTTTAGAGAAAGAGAGAGAGAGTGCACCCGTGCAAGTGGGAGGGAGAGGGGGAGAGCCTCAAGCAGACCCTGCACTGATCACGGAGCCCAACTTGGGACTCCATCCCACAACCCTGGGATCATGACCTGAGCTGAAACCAAGAGTCAGGCCCTCAACCAACTGAACCACCCAGGAGCCCCAAAACTTAACACACGATCCAGCAATCATGCTCCTTGGTTGGTATTTACCCAAAGGAGTTGAAAACCTATGTCCACATAAAAACTTGCATACGGATGTTTATAGCAGCTTTATTCATAATTGCCAAAACTTGGGAGCAACCCAGTTTTACTTCAGTAAGTAAATGGATGAACTGTGGTACATCCAGACAATGGAGTATTATTTTATTATTCAGCACTAACTAGTGAACTAGCAAGCCGTGAAGAGACATGGAGGAACCTTAAATATGTATCACTGAGTGAAAAAAGCCAATCTGAAAAAGGTACCTACTGTAAAATTCCAATTATATAACATTCTGGAAAAAAACTATAGAGATGGTAAGAAGATAAGTGGTTGCCACGGGCTGGGAGGAGAGATGGATGAATAGGCAGAGCACAGAGAGTTTTTAAGGCAGTGAAACTAATTTTGTATAACATGACAATAGCAGATACATGTCTTTATACATTTGCCAAAACCCACAGAATGTGCCACACTAAGAGAAAAGTCTAACATCAGCTGTGGACTCTGGGTAACGATGATGTGTCAGTGTAGGCTACATTGGACTGTAACCAATCAGTCTGGTCTGGGATGTTGATGACGAGGGAGGCTATGCATATTTGGGCATATAGGAATTCTCTGTATTTTCTGCTCAATTTTGCTGTGAACATAAAACTTCCCCAAAAAAATGTTTATTGAGGGGACGCCTGGGTGGCTCAGTTGGTTAAGCATCTGCCTTCGGCTCAGGTCATGTTCCAGGGTCCTGGGATCAAGCCCTACATCGGGCTCTTTGCTCAGCGGGGAGTCTGCTTCTCCCTCTCCCACTCCCCCTGCTTCTGTGCTCTCTCTCTCTCTCTGTCTCTCTCTCTCTCTCTGACAGGTAAATAAATAAAATCTTTAAAAAAAATTTGTTGAGGTTTGAAAATGTCAATACTTACAATATTAAAGAAATTACGTCTTTTACAACTATTTAAACTTAGAATAGAAGGGGCACCTGGGTGGCTCAGTCGGTTAAGCATCTGCCTTAGGCTCGGGTCATGATCCCAGGGTCTTGGGATCGAGCCCCGCATCGGGCTCCCTGCTCAGGGGGGAGCCTGCTTCTCCCTCCCCTCCCTGCTTGTGCTCTCTCTCACTAACTCTGTCTCTCTCCCAAATAAATAAAATCTTAAAAAATAAAAATAAACAGGATAGAAAATTTTAGATGTCAACTTAAAAAAAACTGCAAAAAGGTATTTAGTTTTTCAAAATTCTTTTAGGGATTGTGGGGAACAAAGTTTGAAGACTCCTAGTCTAAGACAATGGTTATCAGCAGGGGCCTCATCATCCCCTAGGAAGCATTTCAGGAAATTGGTGGGGCATCTTTAGTTGCCATGATGATTGGAGGCAGCTACTGGCATTTAGTGGGAAAGGTGCCAACGATGCTAAACATCTTCAAGGTGTGGGGCAGCTTCGTGGGAGATTTTTGGCACAACACGCAGGATTTCTGAATGACCCTGCACTACTGTTTTAAATCATTCGAGTCTAGAAACTAACTTTGTTTTTCTTCTCATCACAAAGCATTTCTGGAATAGCTGGGAGAGATGCTGCATTTTAGAGGAAGGCAACTGCTATACAGCTCAAAGGAAGACTGTACTTGTCCACAATTTTATCCAAACATGTTTGCTACAGTGATGCCCCTCACAGTAAGTGAGCTCTGATACCATGCCCCTGGTATCACCCTTAACGTGATCACCCACAGCTATGGCGGGTGTTCCCACTAAGCGTGACCCACATCAAACCACCTCCCAACTTGGATCACCAAAACACTGCAGAGGTCTCCCCAGGGCCTCAGCAGCTCAGGTCCACACTCCAGGTGGTAGTGCTCCTTCTAGAAATGGTTTTCCACTCGAGATAAACGGAAATGAACAACAGATGGGTTCTCTGCCTGCCTTGGGTGCCCTCTGCGTAACTTGTCCAGTACTCATTGCCTTTTATCAACTCTTCCTTCTGGAAAGAACTCCATTCAATAACCACGTGGTCACCATCCTCAGTAAAATCTGTAAAAAGGTGCCCTCAAATATCCAAAACATAGTCTTAAACTTGCAGAAGGTAACAAAATACTTTAAAAACAGAGTCATGGGGGCACCTGGGTGGCTCAGTCGTTAAACGTCTGCCTTCAGCTCAGGACATGGTCCCGGGGTCCTGGGATCGCACCCCACATCGGACTCCCTGCTCCGCGGGAAGTCTGCGTCTCCCTCTCCCACTCCCCCTGCTTGTGTTCCCGCTCTCACTGTGTCTCTCTCTGTCAAATAAATAAAATCTTAAAAAAACAAAAAACAAAAAACAGAGACATGGTCTCTTAACAGCACCTTTTTCCTCACAGTAGGGGTTTCAGGGTTGACAGTGCCTAGTTCAGCTAATGGCACAAAAACTGATCACCATGAAAGGATATGGTGCTTCCAGAAGATACAGAGGTGAGATGCAGGTGTCCCAAGGCAGGCACTATCCCCTTTACCCAAACTGAAATGGGTAGTAGGCCTTCTGGAGGAGGAAAATTTCCATCCACATCCAACCACCCTTCTTCCACAAGCTTATGAAGTAAGCCATTTTCTTCACTGTGAACCAAAATTACCCAGGTATCTAAATCTCCATTTCTTTAATACACAGTACATAAGCTCCATTAACTAGGTTATCGTCAGCCACTACACTTAGCACAGCAGCATCCGAAGTGCTGTGGGCCACACAAAGCAAACAGACAATGACCTTGTTTACCCTTAATCATCCTTAAGCCCCTCGGCTCTCTAGGATTTGAAATCAAAATAACATTGCTTTTCTCCTAACCTTCCAGAAAATTTTAGAAACGTAAATTTGATCATGCCTCAATCACAAGAAGAAAGGCATTAATGGGAAACATGAAGCGGTTGCACTTGGTGGTATTATTAGTCTGTCTCTCTCTGGGAGTCAGTGGTGTCTAATCCCATGATGTAATTTCCCCTATGGCTTTTTAAACGTCACGTTAAATTTTAGACAGCCAACAAGTGAGCCAGTATCAGCTGAAGTGGGAGTAATAACCATGTGAGATTTTAATAATGGAACTCTGAAAGGGATCCTTTTCAGGAGGCACATTATAAAGGAATTTTCTAGACAAAGAGAAAATGCAATTCTTACCTCCAACCAACAAGTAGCTGTTGGGAAACAGTGTTTTTGCTTGCATAAGTGCCCTTGCATGACCGGAATGGAAGAGGTCAAATATTCCATCCGCATAGACTCTGACAGGCCTGTCAACTGTGGAAGAAACAAAGTGTCATCAACACAACTGCAGAATAAGGCAGCCCTGTGACCTGATGCTTCTGTCACCAGGACACCAGTGTGAGGAGGTTTACCTGGATAAAACACCATGTCTGGGTACCATCAGTCTCTTATTAGGGCACACAGTGACTTTTACAAAGAGGCTCTTCGGAGGCTAGCCAAAGTGGAATAAAAACAGAACTAAGAGCGACCCAGAACACACATTTTAAGCCAACAGGAGAGACAAACACAAAGCGGCCCGGAGTTCTCTGAACCCAGAGTCGAGTCTGGGGTGTCTGAGCCGGCAGATTCAGACAGCCCAGGCGTCAACAAAGGGTTGGCAGAGTCAGCCCGGCGGGGCTATCGAGGCAGGAGTAACCGAGTCGCTTAATGAAGAGGAAAAACGACTTCATTCTTGACGCGGGCAGTCCTGAATGAAGACCCCAGAGATCCGCTCCCCAAAGCAGCGTCGTGCGGCAGTCTGCTCGTGCAGCTCCAGGAGACAGGCGCGCGCCTTTCCTCCCAGCTCCAGGCCCCACCGGAAGCCCGGAAGCCCGGAAGCAGCTGTGGCGGTACGTGCACCACAGGAACGCGCGAATGCTGCCAACCTGGGCTTACTTCCCTCCCGCGCGCCACTGCACGAAGCTCACTCCCTAACCTCTTTGGCATCATAAGAGATGGGGGGGGCACGTGCCCCAAAGACAGAAGAGTCAGGTGACATGTGGGGGTGGCCCTCAGTGTTGCAGGCCAGCGACCAACACTACAGTCCCTCTGAGGGACAAAGGTCAAGAGAGAAGAGGCCTCACGAGACATTCTCACGGGGCCATATGGTGCTCTGGGAAGTGCCATTCCATGACAGAGAGGGATACGTTCAGCACAGCCCCCTGGGAGCCAGGCGACGGCACTAGAAACTACAGGATGACACTTTGCTGAGACAGCCCAAAGACCCACCTCCTCCAACAACATGGAGACATTGGGGGTAGAGGGGTTGGGTGCCAACTTTTACACCATTCTGGACTATCGTCAAAGGAACTAGAAAGTGAAAATATGGCAAACTGAACATATATGCATTTATTTCCACTTTCTCCCAAATAACACAAGAATTACAGGTAAAGAATTAAAAAGGTATATGCCCCCCCAAAAATAAATTAAAAGGTATAATCCCCCAGGGCAGAGGAAACAAGAAAGGCAATGACAGTGGATGAGAGATGTACACAACATTTTGGAAAGTTAAGATCAAACGGTGAGTGTCTATAGGAAACAAGAATTGGGGTTAAGGCAGGTAGGGAAAGGGATTGTTGAGTCACTGGGTTGTTTTTTTTTTAATAAGCCTAAGAGTCCTACTGACTTTTTCCAGTACATGCATGTATTATAATGATGTTATAAAAATAAATTTAAAAAAGAATGCAAACTTTTGGTGAATGATTTTTAAGACATTTAAAATTGTGATTACTTCTTGATGTAGTACAACCTCATTAATTTGGAATATAAATTAAAAGGAATGTTACATTAATAGATTCAGATGGTACAATGTTTCTAATAAATTAAATTTCTCTAATAAAAAAGAACTCGAGAGACTTTATGTCAGATTGGGAATTGCAGTTATTCCCAATTATACACCATTCTGAACAAACAGAATTGCCTTCACAGGATTATACTGGATTCTTAGTAAGGCATGGTAAATAGAAAATGCTTTGAAATAACAAACTGTCTAATGAGGGATCCTTGGTTTCAATGTTCTTATTCAATTTGAATTCAATTGAGGAAAATTTGTTTTAAGATATAAATCCCAGGGGAAAGCAGATGGCAGTTTTGCAAAACTTTTTGTTATTGATTCAGAGGTGATCAAGATAAATGAATTCAGGAAGCAGGGAGGAAAGAAAAGTAAAGAAAGATGACATAATTACCGAGAAAAAGACCATTTAGTAAATCTTTGAAGAGTATTTGTGGAGTTGATTTTGCAATAAGCTCACTTTTTAAAATTGTAGCGTGTCAGCAATTTCCAGACTGGGAAACGGGACCAAAAAAAAAAAAAAAACAACACCCCAAACCAAAAACCAATCTTAACAAATGAGTGCTTCAAGAAAAAAAAAGAGAAAGAAAGATGGAATGGAAGTGGGTCTGCAGATGAGAGATTGAAAAGATTTATCAAGGGGTGCCTGGGTGGTTCAGTCGTTAAGCGGCTCAGGTCTTGATCCCAGGGTCCTGGGATCGAGCCCCGCATCGAGCTCCCTGCTCGGCAGGAAGCCTGCTTTGCCCTCTCCCACTCCCCCTGCTTGTGTTCCCTCTCTCGCTGTGTCTCTCTGTCAAATAAATAAATAAAATCTTTAAAAATAAATAAAAGACTTATCAACATATTGAATGTATAGATATTTGGATTTGGGTTCAAACTAACTATCAGTAAATGAGGACATAAGATAATCAGAAATTGGAACACTGGATATTTGGTGATATTAAAGAATTACTGTTAATTTTTAGGTGAAAAAATGGTACAATGGTTATGTTTTTAAAAACTGGTTTTTAAAGACATTTATACAGAAATATTTATGGATGGGATGATAGGAAGCCCAGGGCTTTGTTTCAAATAATTCAAGAGGGGGCAGTGGATGGGGGCATGCATGGGGTAAGACTGGCATGGGGTGGTGGTTGTTAGCTATAAATGACAGACACACGAAGGTTCATTATATTGTTCTACCTTTGTGTATGTATGAAATTCTCTACAATGAAGTTTTTAAGAGTGTGGCTTTTTTTTAGTTTGTATGTTTATTTCTTTTATTCTTTTGTTTCAGATTTTTCTGGACATCTTTTTAAGCATTTGGGCATTCTCCAGAGCATCTATGTTGGGTACCACTGGCTGGTGAAGCTGGAGGTCTGGCAATGATCCCGAGTGGGAACCCAACTACACCATGGCCATGGTGGAGAGACCTTAAGGGGCCTCCCAGGGATCCCTGCCACCTGGTGTTTATGCCTTGGTGCCAACTCCTCCCTTTGAAATGTGAGTGGCGTGGGCGCCTGTGTGGCTCAGTTGGTTAAGCAACTGCCTTCGGCTCGGGTCATGATCCCAGGGTCCTGGGATGGAGCCCCGCATCTGGCTCCCTGCTCAGCAGGGAGCCTGCTTCTCCCTCTCCCTCTGCCTGCCGCTCTGCCTACTTGTGCTCTCATTGTCAAATAAATAAATAAAATCTTTAAAAAAAAATGAAATGTGAGTGGGACCTGTGACTTATTTCTAACCAGTTGAGTATGGCAAAGAGGATGGATGGCACTCCCATGATTACGTTACACTATGTAAGATTCACTCTTTCTCTTTCGGTGGCTTTGAAGAAGGAAGCTATCGTGTTGTGATAGGGCCACATGGCAAGGAACTGCAGGTGTCTCCTAGGGGCTGAGGGTGGCCTCTGGCTGACAACCAGCAAAAAGCTAGATCTTTGGCCTTAGAGCTGCAAGGAAACAACCTGAGTGAGCTTGGAAACAGGTCTATCACCATCAAGCCTCCAGGTGAGAGATGAGTCCTGGGTGACACCTTAAACGCAACCTTGCGGGACCCTGAGCAGAGGACTCCGTTTAGCCAGGCTCCCGGCCCACAGAAATTATGATGTAATAAATCTGCATTGTTTTAAGCCACTAATTCTGTGACAGTATGTTATGCAGCATAGAAAATGAATACAATGGCATTATAAATTTTCTGCCCACAGACAATTATAAATTCTTAGAAGTATTTCAAATAAATTGCTGTTTATCCTGAATGGACAGAGTGAGGTCTAGCAGATAAATGTGATGTTCTGGTAAAATGCCTATCTGTAGAGCACATGTCGATTGCTATGTTCCAAATAATTTCCATATAATGAACTACACATAACACCAAAATGATGCTGAATATTTGCTTAAGAATCATGGATACAGGCGTGCCTGGGTGGCTCAGTCGTTAGGCGTCTGCCTTTGGTTCAGGTCATGATCCTGGGGTCCTAGGACCGAGCCCCGCATCGGGCTCCCTGCTCGGCGGGAAGCCTGCTTCTCCCTCTCCCACTCCCCCTGCTTGTGTTCCCTCTCTCGCTGTGTCTCTCTTCAAAAAATAAATAAAATCTTAAAAAAAAAAGAATCATGGATACAAATAATGACCATGGTATAGTATTGTGGGGAAATCTTTTTTTTTTTTTTAACTTCCTGGATTTTACACTCCAAATTTTTCTAAGTTATTCAGCACTTATAAACAAATGAAATGGTGAGGGGGCTGTGTTTGCCTCACATCTCACACCATATATGAAAATTAACTCAAAATGGATCATAGATCTAAATGTATGGACTGAAGTTGTGAAACTTCTAGAAGAAATGGGGAGAGAATCTTAGTGACTATGGGTTTGGCAAAAATTTCTTCAATAGGGGGCACCTGGGTGGCTCAGTCTGTTAAGCCTCTGACTTCAGCTCAGGTCATAACCTCAGGGTCCTGGGATCGAGCCCCTTTTCATGTCAGGCTCCCTGCCCAGCGGGGAGTCTGCTTCTTCCTCTCCCTCTGCTCTTCCCCCCGACTCATGCTCACTCTCTAGCTCTCTCCCAAATAAATAAAATCTTTAAAAAAATTTCTTGAATAGGCCCCAAAAGGACACATTATAAAGCCAAAAATTAATAACAATAAATTGGACCTTACTTCAAACTCACATCTTCAAAAGACATTTTTACAAAAATACAAAGGCAAGTCAGACAGGGAGAAAATATTTGCAAAATATTTATCTGAACTAAGCTTTGTATCTAGACTACAAAAGAACTGTCAAAACTCAATAATAAGAAATACCTCATTTTAAAAAGGGCAAGAAATTTGAACAGACACTTCACCAAAGAAAATAAATATATGAATGGCAAATAAGATCATGAAAAGATCTTTAATATCATTAGTTATCAGGGAAATAGAAATTAAAGCTAGAATGATAGACTACTTCATACCCCTAGAATAGCTAAGAATTTAAAAATATATCGACCCTACCAATTCTTGGCGAGGGTAG